GAGAGAGAGAGAGAGAGAGAGAGAGAGAGAGAGAGAGAGAGAGAGAGAGAAAGAGAGCTGTACGATTCGACTCGTGCAACAACCGTGACAATTGTACGTACAGTATATAATCGTGTAGAACATCCTTACGTTCCCGTTGTGCAATCTGGGGCACAAGTTCCGTAAATGTTTGCCGTATATCCTATTACGGCACAGCATCAAGATTTAAACCAAGGCCGACGGTATTTGCGTGGTTATCGTGTTATGTAAGCTAATCGAGCATGCATACGAGGATCAAACGGGCTAGTATCGATTCCATTAAAGTTCATAACGTATTCACGTCGAGCTAGCATTTTTCCTCTTAAGTTACCCGCGCTTTTCTTTTTGCGATTTACAAAAAAATTTTATCCCAATTAGCAAAGAAATCTTGCGCACGGTTTTATCATTGTTCTAATAATAAGTAAAGTTTTCTTTATTATCAACGTAGTTCACGTTTTTAATACAATTACTTCGTAATTTTATGGTTGAAGGAGACTTTATATTTGACATCCTATTAAATTCTACAGTGACAGTGTAGAGGAATGTAAATAATGAGAGAAAAAAATGATTTCAATTATCATAATTTAATTATAATATTTTTACCGAGATACTATTTTTTGCAATAAATTATTATAGTTTCATCAACATGTGACAATTAATATTCTTGTTAAAAAAGTTTTATGCTTATTAACATAAAAAAATTATTAATTTGCCTGTACAATTTAATAAATGATATTGCTATTATGATTCTGTTCACGAATATGTTTTAAGTCTGGAAAAATATTCTGATACACAAATCAGAATGTATATAAATTTATTAAATTCATACAAGAAATACATATTCAAGTATTAATCCGCTCTGATCTAATATAGAGTTCTTCTTATTTAAAATTTGATTTTATTCATATCAATTTAACAGTCGTTTCACATTGTTTAATTATAATATATAGTCATTTTTAGTCCCAAATAGATATATTTTGGAACAACTATTAATGTCATTGTTATTATTATTATATTATACTATAGTTATTATAGAGCAACATAATAACTGTGAAAATAGAACTCCTGACATAATTATTTTACCATATAATTACTATACCAAATAATTTTCTCTCAGTACATCGCGTATGACTTTCAGGTTGTAAGACTGGAGAACTGACTCAATAATTTCATTGGTAGTAATATTCTATTCGTATATACAAGGTCTTTCTCACGTTTATACGATCCTTTGTGTGCGTTTGCAAGGTTGTTAAAAAGTCATTAACTTACGTCTTGTGCGGAGAGGACTCTCGTGGCAGCTTCTACGGGAACATTTCCGGAATGCGGATGATGTTGATGCGATTCAACTGCATTGTTGCGATTGCAGACGTTCTTATACCAAGGTAAACCATTCTCGCTGTCTCCATCATTCCGATATTTTCGCCACACGTGCCTGATACGCATATTAGAAAAATTTATTGCTGTAAAAAAAAAATACAACCGGCCGGCACTGCGGATAGCATATTCCTTTCGCAATAAGCAAAATTTGCATACCTGACGCCGAAGGCGATCCCCAAGGCGATGATCAGCGGTAATAATGTCGATATGCATGCAAGTAAAACGGTTTGTATGTCTGAAAAGTTGGCAAGGATACCTGAAATATAATAATCATAAAATTCTTGAAGCGAAAGTACAATAATAACTTGAATCTTTATTAGTTAATCCCTTTATATGATTATTCTGTCAAAGCTTACATACTATCACTTAAAAGTATTTATCCATTCTTTCTTAATTAAATGAAGAAGAGTGGTTTTCCATTTTCTTTTCTACTCTTCTAGATGTTAGACTTAATAATGTTTAATAGCTAAAAACTTTAAATTCTACATATAATGTAAAAAAATAAAGTAGCATTAGAATGGAATTCAAGTGTATAAAAAAGATGCATACAAAAATTGAGATGGGTATAAATACTTTTGAATGGTAGTGTATGTGCGCACAATATATGCTCATTATTAGTTTTTATCGCGATTTTCTTCACGATTAAACGATTGTTCCCAGCTACTTTTCATTGAATTTTCGTCGTGATAAGATTTTGACTGAAAATTTATTTGAAAACAAATATTCTCCTAAACTTTCCCAATTCCACTAAAAGACATTTCTTAAGAGATTTTAAAAAACCTATTTCGAAATGCAGTTGAGATATATTCAATATTTTTTACCTTTCAAATGCATAATGAATTAAAATTCGGATTTGGATGAAGAAATGACCCACCCATCTCACTGTCCTTATCGAGAGCTTTATACCTTTCTTCGTAATACACTGTGCTACTTACTGTGTTCGAGTTCGTCTTGTTCGATGAGATACTCCGTCGTGTTGTAGACGCGATGGTGTGGTTTGATGGTAGTGACGATCGCAGGATCGCCCATCATAGCTGCGGACGGATTAGTCGTCTCAGCATTAAACGCGGCAGCGATCACGTTAGAAGGAAGGAATGTCACCGACGTGAAATTTAATTTTTCTGCCGTTGTTTTGTCGTACATTGTACGATTGTGTGCCATCGTTTCTGCCATCCCGCTTGTACTCGATGCATTACCGAGAGATTTGGCGGTTCAAGCGAATCCACGTCGGTCGAGACGATAAAGCACAAGAATGAAACTAACTGGAAAGTTTACGTTATGCGAGCATTTGATCTTTCTACGATCATTTTGTAATTTATTTCTTGTCTTTCTTTTACATTTTATTATCACTACTCCAATTCTGAATCAATCTATCGCATTTAATTTGCTCTCTCTTTCTCGTTTTGATGGTGATAATCGTCGCAAAGGATAAATACACAGAAGTTGCTCGCTCATAAATCAATGTATCGGAAACGTATAGAATATTTTCACATACGTACTTGTATATGTATATATGTATACATATATATATACAATTGCTCATGCATGTTATTTCATCCGTGTTGAGCTTTTACAATGGATTAGACTATTAATGCTTGCGTATGAAATCGTCGTTCTATCGCCTTCGCCTTAAATGGTAGTCATATCAAATGTCACGTTGAAAACATGTTGATAAAGAGACAAATACGTTGTGCCTGTGTATCTTTTTAATGTTATAACATGTACTTTTTTATTATAAGTGTCTTTAAGTGTTTGCATTTTATATTCTTTGTATTTTCTCTTTAAGAAAAACATTTTCATAAACTTGAGCGTTTTGCTCTTCGCAAACTGTTAAATATTTTATGAAAGTTATCTGTCTCTGTCTTTATCTGACTTTTTCCTTACATTATCAAATATAAACTTTCTGTCGTTTATCTTGCTTCAACTGCTAAATAATATATTGAAAAAATAAAGGCTTACAAATCACATTGGAGAAAATTACGGAATAACATCTTCATCTGCTTCATTTACTCGATCCTCTTTTTTTCGTCCTTATCGTTTGTCTTTTCATTATTCGCATAGCTATCTATCGTACAATTTATTCTTTCTCTGCGTGCAGATCTGGATGCGTTACTGCAACAAATTTTTTTATCTAATTAATTAAAATTACACGAAGAAAATTTATCTTAAAAATAATAATAAATTTATCCTGAAAAAACGTAAAGGTATTATCTTACATTTTCTACTATAATTAGCCGATTCGTTTACTGTTCACATCTTATTACTGTCTTATATTTTTTTAGCTTAATACTCTCTAGTCTTTAAATAAAATTATCTAACATATATAAAAACATATATAAAAACGTAAATTAATCTTTTTTTTTGTCGGTCCTAATAGTATCAAAATGTTATAACAATTTAATAATAACTGAAAGATAATTGAAAAGTTATTTTTTGAATAACTATAATACTAACTATTAATTTTTAGAATAATTTGTAACGGTAATTAGTTAATTTTTGAAACAAAAAAAGATGTAACTAATTACTGTAACTAATTACTTTTACAAAGTAACTTTCCCAACTCTAGCAAAATTTTAATAATTTTAAAATATGTTAAATAGTTTGTGATTCTTTATTATTTTAAATGGAATAGATGTGTTAAATAATAATAAGTATGTAAAAACATTATATATAACAACGTATATACATTTTAGAATACAATATATTTTTAATTTGACTTAATTCATGATAACGTGCAACACGGTGGTAATTAATTGGCTATATCTGAATGACGTTTCTACTAACATCACTAAAGTTGCTTATCCGCGAGCAACATGTGAGATCATTGATAGATGGACGTGATAAGTTTAATTTCTCATAAGTAAAAATCCAGAATAGTGTAAAAGACGCAACATTACAAGATTATTTACCAACATGAAAGTAAATGAGAGACGTATTTTGACAATATAGATTTCGATTAAGAATTTTGTAAGATGAAAAATTTGTTTCGTGTATAGTCCAAGAAATTATAATATTTGTGCTTCTATTTAATTTTTTTAACATAAAACGATATGATTTCTTTGTCGTGTGTCCTGAAGATTATACAATCAATCAATAAATAAATTACACTTTAACAGTCGATGGTTCAAATCAAATTTCAAACTAACAGAACGTTTAATTAACGTTTGAGTCAACTCTTTAATGGAGTTCAAAGTTTAATCATTGTGCTATCTAACATTTTGGCAACTACAAAGTTAAGATTTAATTATCTCTCACTAGAGAGACGTTTGCTCGACGCCAAGCCGAGCACGAGTAATCTAAAGAGGTCATCATTGAATTTTATGGGAAATTTCGAAGCATCTTATATTGAAAAGATAGGCATTTTAAGATTCCTTGGTACTATAAGCGCTTTATGTAGACTGTAAACCCGCGATTATGCCAGTCGATACATACGCAAACGACACATCGTGCAAACCACCCAGGTGACGGGGCCGCCGGCGCCGTCGTCAAGCGATGGATATTCGATGTACTCGATACGCTATGTAGCGCGCATAATGCTGTTGCGTGCTGCGATATACGTATGCACATTGTGGCCTGTTTGACGGACTTCGCCTCGGTCTCGCAAAGTGCATCGTAGTAGCGTGCCGACATTCTATGCAACGAGGACAAGATATGCGGAGATAAAGTTCAATCTGGCGTTAAGTGTGCCTGCTACACCGCGATTTGCGACATTGCGGATTATTCTATTTGAGATTGTGATGATGAAATAAAAATCGCAGAAATTTGATCCCGCACGCAACTCGCAGTGCCTATAACCAGATAATTGGAAATAATCATAATTTCTGCGCTATTCCATGCCATCAGTTCATGATGTAAATTGCTAGATTGCTATTTAACTATAAAAATATAACATGTAAACAATTTCTTTTTTTACTGACAAGATACCTAATTTTAATATTGCCAAATTTTTAACGGAATATATATATTTTATCGGTCAAAAAAGAATGCTTATGTCATGCTTCTACATTTAAATATTTTCATGATGATTTTAACAATCTTTAAAGTGCGAAGTCACTTGAAAGATTGTCACATAAAACTGTTATTGTATGAAAATGTTAAGTATTAAGAAATACTATAGGAAAATTACAAAATTTTGTTATAAGAAAATGCATAAATTTTGTTAGGGATATACGTGCGCATTCTAGTATGATATTCTTAAACGCTACATAGAGTTCTTTCACTATTTTTGTAACCAGCGTTATTCGACATTTTACATTACAAGTCTATTGCTTTCGAAAATTTCGGTAAAGAAGAAATTGCCGAGAAATTTAAATGCCGCAGTAATTACGTAAGCTTTCCAGAATTCTATTTTGCGACAAATTGCATCCTAGAGATGGGAAGAATAGCCGGTGAGTAGTGGATCATAAATTAGCTTCTTCTTCCGCGGATGATGCCATCTTCTGGCGCAGTTTCTCACACATTTCGCCTGCATCAGTGCAATGTCCGATGAAAAAGGGAGAATGAAAGAGGATGTTGGAGGAGAAGGAAGAACAAGAAGAGAAAGAGGAGGAGAAATAAGCTGCAAGGTCCAGGACCACAATTTGGGTGAAGTCGTTCAACGCGTTGTAGTAAAACTCTCTTTTAGATTCTTTTGTTTTTAATCTTCAACCGACTATGAGGCATCCGCAATAGGCAATTGCGTCATTAAAATATTTACTTTAAAATCTAAATTAAATACTTAGTACAATTATCTTGACTAGTTGAAAATTGAATAGTTTTACGTTCCCATTTTTCACTCGTTATCTATATATTATTATGTAATTTACATTGCAACTGAACTAGATGTTACAATTTTTCTTGGTGGCAAGTATAACAATGGAAAAGTGTAAAATAAAAAATAAAAAACTAAGGTTTTTATTTATTATTCTTTTCTCTGGCTTTCTCTCTCTCTCTCTCTCTCTCTCTCTCTCTCTCTTTCTCTCTCTCTTTTTTTCTCTCTCTTTTTTCTCTTTCTTTCTCTTTCTGTAGTAAATGTGCCTAAATCATATTTTAATTGCAAAATTGCATATACAAATTATGTTAGAAAATTATATTATTCTATTTTCGTATAATTTTAATATTCTTTTTATTCTTTTAAAATCTTATTCTTTTAAAATCTTAAACTATATATTCTCTGCTTTTTTTGCAGAGAATTTAGAATTCAAAATTTTTATATTAGGTACTTATAATTTATTAAAAGTCAATTATATATAATTTTTTTTTAATTATATATAATTTTCTATACATTACTATAAAGCCAATTTTTTAAAATAGAAATTTATATAAAATACAAATATATTTCTTTTTCTACATAAATTATTGCTTTCTAGAAAATTGATAAATACTTTGTGTCATATATGTTTTAGCGTTGTATTTTATTTCTGACTTTCTTCAAAAATACATAAAATTAGAAGTGCAAAATAGGGTGCTTTATTAATAACAAAATTACATTTGAGAAAATAATTACATTTGTTTAATAATTATTTCATTTTGAAAAAATCTGTTTAATAATTATCTAAAATTTATTTTTATCTTAGTGTATATTTTTAAAAAAATATTATTTTTTTAAATAATTCTCTTTTATCTTTTAATGTTTTAATCCGTGCGCTCATATGATTTAAACTTAATATAAAATAAAGTTTAAAAGATATAATTTTTTTTCAAATTTGTGAATCTTTTTCATGTTCTTTTTATTTATATATTTTGACATCAAGTACATATATATTAAATTGTACATCCGTGTTATGATTTAAGTAGATTAATAATAATGTAATTTAAAAGATAGATTTTAATAAAATTTTAATTAGAAAATAGTTTTAATGCTTTTCCTAAATCGTTCACACATTTTTATTACTCTATCAAGTATGTAACTGAAACAAAACCACATGTAAATTCATGCAAAATGCGATGCAACAAAATATATTTACATTAATTGACCGCCATGAACTTTTACATAGAACTGCTACTTAACGATGATTACATAAGCCAGAACTCTCGTACAAACGTCATAATCAGAAAACTTTTTAAGTTTATTCACTGCATTGTTCTCGTGTGTGACCTTAGAAAGTAAGGAGCCTTTGAACTTATATCTATTGAACAGTACGTGTCGTGCGGTTCCATTTTTTTTTATGTAATACCCAGTGACCTTTAAAAGGATGTTGGGAATGAGAAATACGTATGGGAATCGGCTACAATTCTAGAATCTACTTCCTCTTAGGCGAAACGTTAATGTTCGATTATCGCACAGAGATGTTGGTCGACGAGAATTCACTTATGCGGCTACATACCAATTACAGTTTCCATTTTCCGACATAGAGCGATGCATTTGAATCGTACACGACTCGGAGACAGAGCGAGAAACAAACGAATTCGTCAGGAACTGAGATCCGGGACCACGATAATGATAGTACCAGACGTCCTAGTGTACTCGGGGACAACGAGACACGGGAAACTGTACACACACCTACGATCGAACCGCGGTAGACACGGGTCGCGAAAGGGAGGCTGTGAAACTGCGAGATGAAAGCGGAGCACAACCCCCGGTGCGCGCGCGCAGCATCCCCGGAAGCAGCCCGGCTAGATCGAGGGGTAACCCTCGGGACCGCTTATTCAGTCGAAGTCGAGATATCCATATCCATGTTCTTGTTTCCCTTATTCCAAGTGTTCTATACAAAATTCAAGAGCAAAATTGTTTGCTAAATAAAATTCTTGAAATTTTTCTTTTTTATACTTTACTTTAAAGATTACATTTAATCTTCCGTTTTCTTTAAGAACAAAAAATCTATAGTTTATATTTTTTAATTATTATTACTAATTAAAATAATTTAGTATTATAAACTAATAGTATTAGTATTAAATTAATA